CCCACCCCCCCCAGTGTTTAGAACTTAAATGTTGTTGAACCACTTACCCTTCCAGGGACCAATCCAAAGACCAATCAGGAGGTTGATGATGGGGATGTTCAGGTGATGATGTTCTTAAAGTAGAGCTTAACTGATATGAGACTGTACGATTCTGGTGTGGAAGCTCCTGTACAGCACATTCTCTAAATAGACATTATTTTACAGTGAGCCTTATAAGCACTTTTACAAAATGATCAAAATTATTTCATAGTCATTATAATCTCTTTTTTTTTCTCTTTCAGATTGTCAGCTTTTTAATTTTATTTCAAAAGGATATGTGGTGTTCATCACATACTTGTCTGAAAGACAGATTAGTGACTCTCTCTGTAGTACTCCCTTACTCAGATTTAGGTCTACATATCCATTGTCTCTATTTTCCCTAAAAGACAAGCTAACCATGGTTGCTGCAGGTTAAACTCTAAAAATTGTAAAACTGTCCAGGAAGGAAGAGCCTAATTTTAAAGTTATTCACAGGTCTGCAACATAAAGACAATCACTTTAATATCATTACTGATTTTAGTAAGAACAGTGTTGATTGTGGTATTCTTGTGCTGTTTGAGTTGGCAAGGCCAGTAAACTAGAATCTACCTGAAGTGTGCTGAAACTGATGGATATTTAAGGGATGGATATTTAAGAGATACCAGTGGGAAAGTTGTAAAATGGTAGTCTAGTCATTTTGACTGCAAAGGGTAGGGCCTAGATACTGGATCAATCTATAACTTTTGCATCTGGGTGTATGGGGAGGAAGTATGTGGGATTGGATAATACACTGGAAAATTTTGGAGGTACATACTCATCTGGGATCCTGGTTTCAGGCTGCCAATTGTTTACAGAAGAAGAATCTAGTCTGGGTTGGATTTGGAAACTACTAGAAAGAGTGGCTACAACCCCTGAGTTTCAATGTATAACCCCAGTGAAACCTGGACAATAGTTCATTATAAATGAATGGGTGTTTTGGGAGGTAGCACTGACCCAGGCTGGAAAAAAGGACTCCAAGTTGCCCAAAACCTTGCAGATGAAGGTAGAGAAAGGACTGCCTGTATGGTATTGAACTGAAACCGACCCCACTTAGACGATACCACAGGCCTACCTATGGAGCAGACCACTGAAACAGATCACCAAAACCTTCAGAAGAGTAGTCAGATTCAGAATCAGCTCATGGAGCTCAATCTACAGGCAAGAAAAGGGCTTGCTCGAGCAGCAGGAGCCCAGTGAGACAGTAACAGTCTTCCACAACGTAGCTACCAACATCCCACAACCTTGTGCCTGGGGAGGTATCATATGCACCATAAATACTACGGAACCAGCCTTTATCTACATTGACTGCTAGTCTTATTAGCATTATTGCTTTTAAGGCTTTACTATGCACATACTGTACTGTGTTTAATGGTCAAGATGGTGCTAGCAATGGTGGGAAGTGAGAGTGCAGCTGCTTGCACCTCTCACAGGTAACATCACCATGGAGAATACCAAGTTTGAGTATGAATGTAGCAAAACCGTGACCAGTGAGGAAAAGTAGCTATGGGCAAGTTTTTTATTTGGGAGGAGACTGGGGCAGAGAAAGGGAGGTGCAAAGGCAGCAAAAAGGAGGGTCAAGAAACTGAACGGTATAAAGAGATGTGCAAGTCATGCACTTGAAGCTGTCCAGGGGTACCTGACAGTCAGTCCCTGCGCTTGGTGACCACAGACAACAGGACACTAAATCAAATCTGTTGTTTCCAATGAGTCCAAACTGCTTCTGCAGTCAGGAGGATGGGAGTGATGGGAAGGCGCTTTTCCTGACTGGTAAAGAAAAACCCAGACAAATGGATTAAGTCTCCTGGTATCACTGTGTTGGTGCTCATTCAAGGCCTGGCAGCATGGGCACTTCGACCTCCTAATTTCAGGCATTATTTCATTCCACACCAAGGCAGTAAATCAATCGACTAGCTAAATCAGAGTTAGAACAAGGATATCAACTACCCTCTTCTTTAAACTAACAACAAAAAAATCCAGTCAGTACTCACAACTGCCAATTCCATTATATACTATCATGATACTGACTTTAATGATAGTATTTTTTCTCTCTGGCTAATTTTCTCGTTTTCACTTGCCAGTACCAGAAAAATAGATTGGCTGTAAGAAGCCGGCTTGAAGCTTTAATCCCTTTCTCTGCAAGCAAGAGAGACAGATACCTGCTCTTGTAAGTCATGACTTTTCAAGGAAAAACAGAAAAGAAATAGAATTCCTGTAACCTTTGCAGGACACTGAAGGGACACTGTTTTATGAAGAAGCTGAAAAAAGAAAAAAGCTCTAGCCTTTCAAAGACAGCTAAATCGAATTACAGCCTCATATTTTTATATGAGAACATTTCAGTCTTTGCTATCTAAGACTTCTGCATACAGTTTTTGCAGCTGGCTTACAGACTGCATAATGGAACCTAGATTTGTTTTTTCCAAAACAATTCAGGTAATATGTTTGTAACTCTCCTGAAGTAGAAGAGAAATTCCTTTCAGGAATGAAAACTGAAGATCTTTGCCTCAGTATAGGCTCACTCTAGTATTTGTTTTGCTAACCAACTGTAAACTGAGTGTTGATATTGCAACTATAAACAATCACGTGAGTAACAAATTATCCTTAACCAGAAGAAGAGATTAAGTATAGAGGCTGATTCAACTTTCTGCCAATGAACACTTCAAGAAGAAACACTTGCAATCCCTACCAGGGAGCATCCATACACCATGAGATGGATGCACTCACATAGGGGAAGTAGAGAAACAACAGTCTGAAGAAGGTCACATTTCTTTTAAAACTTGTACTCCTGTATTAGCACAGTCTGTCTCATTCTATGCAGCTGAAGAAGCACAAACGTGCCACCTTTTAAATTGACTCACACGGCTAACACAAAAATTTAGATGTTTTTGCCACGACTTCAGGGTAAAGGAGAATCCAACTTGAAACATACACTGAGACATTTAAGAAATCCATGTGTAAAAGACCTAGCATCAGATATAGAGGTGTTCCCTCCAAAACCCTCATCCTTACTTATGAGAGAACAAAGTTATCAACAAAGTAATTTACAACAATTAAACAAGACATCTGATTCTCAAACCTGTGCTATAATCACATCACTCTGCTTCTTTTAGCCACCCTTCTTAGACACCCAAAATAATGCCTGACATGGTAGTATTTTATCCTCAATACATCTATGAAATAGAGAAGTACTGTTGTTTCACAGATAAGAAAACTAAGTAGATAAACTAACTCATGAAGTAGTCTAGGGACTGTTCTCTGTTACTGTGGCCAAATCACATGAAACAACTTGTACATATTGTTAAACTCTTCCCACAAGAGAAAAAAAAATTTACTTTGGCCATACTGCCATTTGGGAATTATGCCTAGTACATCCTGTGCCCCAAGTAGTACCTGGGAGAATGCAGGTTGGTACAGGCTAAAGTAATTCCAGAGTGTCTACTAACAATCAAACTTTATGGACAGTTGTGCGGACCCGTCAAGTCAATGCTCTGACCTGGAGCACAGGTGTAACCAAAAGGTAGTCATTCATATCACAGAACTTAGTACTCTATAAATCACTTTTCTAGCCAACTAGTCAGCTAGACTGTCACTATAGATCAAGACAGGCATCACTATAAATGAGTGAAGACAGACGAGCACCTTCAGGAAAGTGATCCATCCCATCCTAAACCAGGCATTTCCATAGGGCAGTTTATCTCACTGTCTTGTTCCATTGGCTATAAAGGGGACCTAATTTACACATCATGTATAAAACTACACAGTCTGAAGTCAGTGACATGAATAGCCTCTGAACACACAGGAGATGTACAGTAGAGCAAACCCAAAATTTGCTGTTTATCCTACTAACCAGTCTGAGTCTTAGTACTGTATTGTATTTCACCCCAGTTAGATGCAGGAAGCTCAATACAAACACATATACTTGCCTTTCAAAGTGCTCAGTCCCCAGCTGTCTTTTGGCGATACACAGTTCCAACTGTAGCTCAGCGGCTCTATTTCTGAGCTGAGTAAGATCTTGACTCTGCACAGCACTGTAAAGTCCATACACTTTAATTAGATAGCAACTATAATCCTCCAAGTATGTTACCAAATACAATTATCCAAAGTCAAAGAGGCAGCTATTCCATGCAATTGAAATTAAGAATTATCTGTTGAGTAAAATGTAACACTACCCAGAAAAGTCTATTACGGTAAGCAGGTTTTTGCTATCTTCTGCCATTAAGGTGACCAAAGTACATTGGCCATTTGAAAATGCAGCTTGATATAAAATCATCTTTGAGTATATACACTTGGGAAGAATGATAACACCTGCAATATTCTCATAGTCATTTACTCACAGTTTATTTTCTGCTAAAGAATGCTGTTCCTTGAGAAACTGAATTTCAGAGTCTTTTTCTTGCTTTTCTCTCTGTGACTTAAATTCTTTCTCATGACTGGATACAATCAAAGATTCCAAGTTTTTCATAGATGCTCTTTCATTTCCCAGTTGTTTTCTCAGCAGCTCTATTTCAGAATGAAATGAGGCACACTTGCTCTGCAGCTAAACAAAGATTTTAAAGTTTTAGATGTATGTTTGTTTAGCTTACTGGTTGTCTCTTATGGTAACCTTTTTTTTTTAAAAAAAAAAAAGAAAAAGAAAAAAGAAAGTCTGGGATCAATGAGAACTAACAGAAAAGTGATAGAATCATATGGAAAATACCTGAATAATCTCAGTATGTATGAACAATTTTTCAGAGTTTATCCAAGCTAGGTTTTTTTTAAATTTGCCTGTCAAATATTAATTTTGTAGTTTTTGTAAAAATCAAAGTCAATAGAGATTGATCTTCAAGGGAAATTAAGGAAATACTATTAAAGAGATATTGATAATTCCTAAACCAGCCAAGCATTTTAAAGTCCATGACAAGTTTCTTTGCTAATAAACTACGCTAGATATTCTGCTTACTTAGTGACTAGATGTAAAATCCAAGACATCTTTAAAGAAAACAATCAGTAATTTTAAGTCCTGACTTTTGAGTATTCGTAGTGCAACCTTGCAAAGCAGTGTGAGCTTTTCAAGTAGTATACAGCATCCCCCCTCTGAGGAGTAAGCCAAATTAAACACTCAAAAAATACTAATCATCAATAAGGATTTCTTTGCTCATTCTAGATACCAAAGTAGATTTAGATCCCTTAAGTATAATGTTAACATAAACTTATTTTTCTAATATCCCTTAAGTATAATGTTAACATAAACTTATTTTTCTAATATATTTCACATACCCTTTCTACCTTCTCTGCTTTTGGAGGATTTAATCATTCTTTGACTGCATCTAGTTTAATGCAAAGTTCTTGTGTAGATGGGAGATTTGCAAGCACAGAGATTCTCTCCCAATATATGCTTTGAAGCTCTCCTTCCATTTTCACAAGACACTTGCTTAAGACAGAAATCTGAGCCTTGTATGCCACTTCTGTTGTTAAATGCCACAGTAAAGCAGTATCAGATAACCAAACCTTTACTGCAAAGAGATTTTAAAACTGCTTCCAAAATCCTGCAAAAATATCTCCATGTAATTGTGGTGAATTTTAAGAAGCAGTGGTCATTTATTCTGGAATAAACTTGGACGTTATTTCTTTAAATAACTCCTGTATATAAAAACTAGGAAAGAAGAGTGCTTGCTTTTGGCAGCAAAATCAGCTACTGACATTTTAACCTCTACTCCTTCTGTGGAGCTAACAAGGGTCAAAATTCTGCCATGGGCCCCATTCCATTTTTAGATTAGACCCTCTGATTTTAGCAGTAAAATGTATTCTTGCATGTAGAGGATCAGTGAATGTTGAGATATCGTCAGTCATATTTATACCGCTGTCACACATAAACTCAGAAGTCACACTGAAGAGAAGGCCAGCAGCCACAGTTCTGACTAAACACATTCAGAATTTTGTATAATTAACATAACCTAGGTTTTTCCTTTTTGAAAAATGCTCATACTTTGCCCAGTGACACTTGTGTTTCCAGTCACTTTTAACTACTTGATTTTCAGTGGGTAGCAGAATGAGCCTGGGAGCTTGACAAAAGCAAAGGGAGAGACAAAGCACTGTGACTTCCTTGAAGGATTTATTAGGATTGAGATCCAAAGAGATGATTGTAGGGGGAGCATATCACATAAATTCTAGCTTTGTCTTGCCTGAAATAAAGCACAAAGAACACAGAGCACTGCTAAACACATTAAGATTCCTAAATAAAAACTTTGGTGTTTTAGATGTGTGCCTTACACATAACTGCTATGAACCCGAATATGACACCTGGAATTCTGACTCCATTTGCTGACACAGTTTTCATGAAGAGGCCTGTTTATTCCTATACTTAATAGCAGGCATGTGGGAAAGAATTAGAAGGATGAAATCTCTATCCATTTGAGGCTTGCTGGACAAACTAGGACTATGTACCTGTTTTATTATATTTTTAAAATGTCAAAATCTGCCACACAATCTTCCTGTGCTGTTTTGCTACAGTTCTCATCTACTTGCTGAACAGCAGCAGTTCAGTTCCTCTTGGGTACCAAATGTGCATGGGTAGCCCTCAGTAGCCTATGTCATATTTAGAAAGCAGAGATGATCTGCAACAAAAACTGTTAACAATCCAAAACCAGAAGATAGTTTATGTGTTCATAACATATTTCCAAAGCCATGCTATGCACTTCCCTTTAAGTTCTTCAGATTCTCAAGCAGGGAGAGGATCTTTAGGACACCTAAAGTAGTGGAAAGAAGGTTGAAAAGCTGGAAGCAAGAAAAGCGGGGACAAGAATGTAACAGATGACAAAGGTCTAGGTATCTTTCAGGTATACTGTGGAGTTGTGTGTGACATTATGCCTTCAGTCATTTCAAACATGAGAGCATTTTATAACTTTTTTCCTTGAACTATGTTATTTTTTTAAAAGATTTTTTTTTCTAAGTGTGACTAGTGGAATTCTAGTCATGTTTAATTAAATAAACTCGAACTCCATACAGTTCATTGTATAATTACCTCTAAGATACAAGAAGTGGCATTAAGCATAATTTTAAACAGCTGCAGGCTTAAAATACCACCAGACCATTTCAAGGGTGAACTATGGAAAGAATGATTTCAACTTACTTGCTCCATCTCTCTTTCAAGGGACCCCATTTTCATTTTCAATCTGCCGTTCTCAGACGCCACACTGACCAGTGCCAGTCTAACAGAGCTACAGTCTGCTTCTGCCTGATGGCATTTTGCTTCCCAACTTTCTCCTTGTTCACAGGCTTTGTGGTAATTCTCCGAAAGCTCGCCATTCTCTCTCTCCTAACATATAAAGCTTGTTTAATAATTTACTGTAAACTTCACAAAATAGGGATATCTATACATTTACATGTATGACACGGTATTGGATATTCTCTTTCCATTGAAAACTTTGCCATTTAGCCAAAACTTAGAGAGACTTCTCAGGAAACAGTGTTTTTTTGTACAAGATGGCTGCATTTTAATGCCCAAAACAGATCTGTTAAAAATGGCTAAATTAAAATTACAAATATGAGGTATAGTAACATATTGCAGAAATATTTTTTTTTACTGTTAATCCCATATAGTAATAAAGACAAAAGAGTCCCAAGTCTCTGTATTATTCACAGTCTTAATTCTTAAGTTTAATAAACACATTTATATAAAACCACAGTGAAATATACTTCCTCACTTGTGTACTGCAAGAACAGCTAAGAAAATGTGTTCCAAGTATTAAAAACATGTTAATAGAATACAAATAAGTTTCAGCTAGGAAGCAAATTCTTTCATGGAAATATGGTGAAAATTTCATTTTTAGTTAAAACAACAGCTTTTATTAACAGGTTTAATCCATTTACTCACTTTAGACTTCAGTACACCCTTCAGCCTGACAATATCTGCCTTTGAATCCTGGGCTTTCAACTTCATATCATCAAGCTCATTCTGGTAACTTGCTGTTTTTTCATATAGTACCTATAAAGAAAGATTTGTTTCATACAGTTAAAGTATACTGTTTGCACCTTTACAAAAAAATAGTATGTATCTAGCAACTATGACTTTATTAACGACTTATTTAAAGGTTATATACAATCTAAACCATCTATATTTCTCAAAATAAGAGCTTGCATACGTCAAAAAATATTCACCTTCTTTGACTTACAAATAATGCTAAATTTTCTTAAAATGAAGAAAAGTGACAATAAAAGAATGTAGCAGCTAAGCCAGATGGTTTAATTAGTAGCTAGGTGGTCATAACAAAATAGCCTGCCCCATTTAAGAAAAAAGGCTCGAGTCAGTTCCCTCTTTTTTACATGTTACAGTCTCTTAAAAGCCTACATCTGAAAAAGCAGAAGACAGCTAAAAATGGAATTAACTAATTAAGTAGTTATCTCCTAATCAGGAGAGAAAAAGCCTCAAGTATTAGAAGGCACTGGCAACTACTGCTTGAGAAACAAAACAGAGAAGAAAAAACCTGCAGAGAGGCTGTTTTAAACTGCCCCATTCAGAAAGTCTTCCTTCCTTACAAAATATGTACTGTGTTAAATTATTAGCAAGTCAAATTCATAAGATTGTAACTGCTCTGGACCAGTCACAGCACAGTATAAGAAATAGTGCCGCCTTTATAGTACTTTTCCATGTAATCGATAGTTACAACTGCCACAGTGTTTTTACATGAAGATCAAAGAGAAATATTAAGTAGCTCTTCCTCAAGATAAGCATCCAAACCATTACATAGCAGTTCCTCTTTATACAAGTGAGCTGAGCAATAAGGGAATAAGTAGAATTTGAAAAATGAGCTTAAAAAGAGTTTGCAGATTTACTTCAGATGAGGGCCCAACAATTCTATACACTACTTGAAAAATACACAATTTGCCTTTTTATTCAAGGGTTCTCTGTACAAATATACCTGATTTTCTTGCTTAATATTAGAAAGATGCTCTTGTAACCTGTCATTCTCTTGAGCTAATGATTCTCTGTTCTTGTCAGCCTGTGCAAGTTGTTTGCTCGTTTCTTGTAGCTGTTGATGCAAACTGGTGATATCTTTCTCACAGATACAGAGAGCTTCAGTGGATTTTCTATGCAGCAAACAATAAATACTTCAGGTAGGACAATACTGTGCAACCTAATACAAATGATAGCTTTTCCAGTGGTTAAGTTTGTAAGTCATGAAACAAAGCTGTAACACTTTAATATTTAATATTAAAGTGATAATAAAAAATTTATACAATAGCACATTCATGATTCAATTTTTGAGTTAATGTTATAAATTATCAAAATTTAATAATGATCTTGACATTTTATCCTTACTTTGTGGAACACTCCAACTCAGAAATCAGAATCTTGAAATCTGAAATTATATTCTCCTGAAAAAGAAATAAAAAATTAAAACACTCTCATCACTCCTCAGTATTAAAAAAAAAATTATCTTATTTTTATTTTCCTTTTATTCAGCTAGCTGGTTAATTTAACTATTTAGTGCAAAATGGATTGTGGTTTTCCAAGTTTCATCATGTACTATTTACAGCTGAAAATTCTGATAATCTAATTTGGCAAATAAAGGAACAAATATTGTTATCTTCTGCAGAATTAATAACTTCAATTAAATTCTTTAATCCTTTGTGGTTCTAAAGGTAGCATATGGCTCACACCCCCAAAACTAAATTATGTCTTCTGTCTATTAGATAAGTTATCACAGCTTTTCTACAATGATTAAACTATCAGAATTTGGTAGCTTGTAACTGATAAAACGAGAATTCCATCACTGTATTTCCAGAAAGAAGGCAGAACAAAGTATATCACTTTATTCCCTTGTCTTTGGATACAGATATTAAAAGAAGCATAGATAGGCTAAGGAAATGCCTTCCACTGGAGACACAAGAGAGGTGAGAGACGGCCATCTCTTCTCTAAAATGGACCCCATTTTGCAATTTACAGTTTTTAAAATGTATAGTCAGTGCTTGTAGCAAAATGATTACAGCCTCTCCTGCAATATCTTTTCTTTAAGATTTTGTTAAAATTTGGTGCAAATTCTTGAGTTAACAATTGCAACAGTTTAAAAGCACCTTCTTTAGTTTATCCTAAATACCCAGATTACCTAAACCGAAGTAAAAAACAATGGTTCAGAACTAAGAACTAAGCAGCTTCATTATATAGTTTGTGCAATAAACTGCTGCCTCTTGATAAATATAAACCATAGAAAACACCAAACATGAGATGTTCAACACTGCTCAATCCTACTGCTGTTGAAGTCAAAATGAGTTTTATTGTTGCCTTGAAACTGGAGCAGAACTAAGTCAGCACTAAGCACTGCTGGAGATACCAATATAAAATAGGTGTGATGACCCAACAGATCCTTTCCCTGTTTACATGACAGAACATACTTTAAATGCCATGTTTTCCTCAAAAGTAGCTATCTTCTCTCTTCCTTCTTCCACACAGTCTTGCAAAGTTGCCTTCTCTTTAGCAAGTTGTGCAATTGTTTCTTTCAAAGCACAGATCTCCTCTTGTTGCACAAGACTTTGTCTTGAAAAGTCATCTGGACACAAGCAGAAAGGTGTCATTTTTCTTAATTCAGCCCATTTGAAATAAAAATTCTTTTGATGCACTTCTACAGCATAAAAGAACATGGCAAAAGCTTCCCTTCAAGAAAGGGAAGCATGTACCTTTTTGAAACATATAAATAATCCGACTAATACTTATAGAACCGCAGTCTTCCTTAGATCAAGGCCTTAAATTACCTGGCTCAAAACAAATCTATCTTTAAACAGTAAATGTTTAGATAATTAAAAATAACTTTCTTGGGTATTATAACAATAAAGGCTTAAACAGAATTAAAATAGAAGCGATATGTAGACTATAGTATGCAATGACTGATGAAATAAAAGAGATTGATAACCTGATATTAGCCAGGTTTTTTCTGAAATTCTTTTTTTTATTTATTTAAATGAACTTCATGTAAAAGTGAATGATTAATGCATTTATAAAATTCAACATCACTTAAAAATTGTGAAGATAATAATGAAAAAAGCAATCTAGTAACTAGAAAAATCAAATTTTAAAATATGTCTCTCCCTATCTTCATTCAGCTAATAAGGTGTTACACACTACATTTACCTTTAAACAGTCAGAGAACCAACCCTTATATGATCTACATACATTACATTTGCAGAGGGGAAACACAGAAACCCTTCTTACAGTGAATCTTACATCTCATAAAAACCATGCAGGCTGCAAATTGCTCTTTAAATCAGAGTAGTTGGGCTAATTGAATGATACTTATTAACCATCTACAGGAGATAAAACATCCAAAGTAAAATGATGCGTAGCTCAGTCTTTCAGGGACATCTTAGCATATATTCACCTTATGTTTTTTCCACAAAACTTCTCCTTATTTCAAAACACAAGATGAAAGACGCTCAAATTTCTGCCTGGTGTTTTTTGATGCATGGCTCTGGAACCTGCTAAGACAGTGTTCAAACCTGGCTCAAAATAAAATCCTGATGGAGGAACTAATCCTGGAAATCATTTCCAGGCACATTAAGGACAAGGAAGTCATCAGTAGTATCCATCATGGCTTCACCCAGGGGAAGTCATGGTTAACCCACTTGACAAATTTCTATGATGAAATGACTGGCCTGGTAAATGAGGGAAAAACAGTGGATGTTGTCTACCCTGAGTTCAACAAGGCCTTGGACATTCCCATACGATACTGCTGGATGAGCAGTGAGGTGGATTGAAAACTGGCTGAACAGCCAGGCCCAGGGTGGTGATCAGTGACACAAAGCCTAGTTGGAGGCTGGTAACTAGTGGTGTGGCCCAGAGGTTAATACTGCATCCAGTCCTGTTTTACATCTTCAGTGATGATCTGGATGATGGGTCAAAGTGTACTGCCAGGAATTTTCCAGATAATGCAAAACTAGGAAGAGCAACTGATACAGCAGAGGGTCATGCTGCCATCCAGAGGGACCTTGACAGGCTGGAGAAAGGGGCAGACAGGAACCTCATGAAGTTCAACAAAAGGAAGTGCAAAGTGATGCTCCTGGGGACAAACAAACCCCAAGCACCAGTATGCAAGATGAAAAGCAGCTTGGCAGGAAAACTGGGCATCCTGGTGAACACCATGTTGAACACAAGCCACCAATGTGCCCTTGCTGCAAAGAAGGCTATTGGTATATGAGACTGCATTAAGGAAAGTATTGCCAGCTGGTCAAGGGAGTTGATCCTTCCCCTCCACTAAGCTCTGGTGAGACACACCTGGAGTGATGGGTCCAATTCAGGGCTCCCCAGTACAAGAGAAACATGGACATAGTGGAGAGAGTCCAGCAAAGGGCCATGAAGATGACTGAGAGACTGGAGCATCTCTCCTATCAGGAAAAGCTGAGAGAGCTGGGACTCATTAGCCTGGAGAAGAGAAGGCTCAGAGGGGCTCGTAAATGTATATAAATACCTGAAGGAAGGATACAAAGAGGACAGATTCAGGATCTTTTGAATGACGCCCAGTGACAGAACAAGAGGCAATGGGCACAAATTAAAACATAGGAGTCTCCCGCTGAACATGAGGAAACACTTGGGTTTTTTACTGTGAGGGTGACACATGTTGCCCAGGGAGGTTACGGAGTCTCCTTCCTTGGAGGCATTCAAAAGTCATCTAGACACAGTCCTAGGCAATTAGCTCTAGGTAGCCCTGCTTGAGAAGGGAGTCTGGACAAGTTGAGCTTCAGAGGTACCTTCCAACCTCAGCCATCCTACACCATTTTACAGAGAAGCAATAGAGGCACAAAGATCAATTGAAAATGCTATCTGATTATTTTGGATGTCCAAACTGTGACCTAAATTTTCAGGATAGAAAGTATTACATTTTCAAAAAAATAATCACGGATTGCTGCCACAGCTGTGAGTGCTCAACATTTCTGAAAATTAATATCCAAAGTCTCAAATCAAGCACTCTAGAACTATATAATATATATAGTTAGTGAGCAATTCTGAAAAGCTTAGTTGTGCACCACTCTAAAATCCTAATGTACAGACTGCAATAGTATAAAATACTGCATAAAAATATTTAACAGTTTAAATAGTGTGTGCTTTCTCTTTCCGCAGTCACCTGCTTTATTCACTGTATTTTCAGCTAAGGAGATCTGACAGATAAGTTGCTTCGCTAGACAACACTAATTTACTCCTACAAAACCGTGCAAAAGTTTCAGCAAGAATCCTATAGAGAAACACCACATGATAGTGTAAGTTTAAAAAAAAAACCACCAAAGTTTATTTATTAAGTAGTACAGACACCTTAAGACTGCCATTCCCAACTTCTTAGTGTTTGTCTCTGAAATAAGTTACTTGTGTGAAAAACAAAAAGCATAATTGGGATTCCCATCATGTGTCACACGACATAGAAGATGAACCTGTGGGGGACTATACTGCTCTTCTCTCTGCAGACAAGCACTGGAAGAGACACTTTGCCAAGTTTATGTTGTGTTGCTGACAAGAGAAGGTTATGCAAGACTTGGAAAATCTCAAGTTTCATTCCAGACTCCAAAAGGGAAAAGGTTCTCTAGTGGGCACGCTTTCTTTCCATCTTCTCCAATTCCACCTCTCCAAGAAGATACCATTTAGCTGCCCATCCTTTCTCTTCACTTTGGTCAGCCCTGTGTCTTAAGGGCCCTGCGTTTCTCATCCTAGACCTCTTCCTTAACAATCCTAAATTCCTAAATCCACATTTTCCATCTCAATCTCCTTTTACTTCAAATCTTTCCCCTGCTTTCAGCTTTATTGTCCAAGTCCTGCATATTCTGTGTGTGCAGCTGCTCACAGGTTCTAGTCATGGTGCGTGTCCAATAGCTCCAAGTCCTACCCCCAGTCTCTGAACTAGTCATTCAGTTTCCAGTCTTTAACCACTTCATACCAGGTCTCCTCACTGGATGTCTCTGGATTCTTCTTCACTTCCTCCCCTTATTTCATTACTTTTTAGGCATTTTTTTGCATTGCCCCAGTTTTCCCTGGCGCCACCTCCACACTCTGTTTCTCCATTCACTGACTCCCAAATCTCGCTGTTTCATACTTAGGGTTTCCTCTGACAGCAGATCCTCCTCACTGCAAATTCTTATCCAGCCAGTAACCCTATTTTTCACTCGTCTTCTGTCTCTTTATTAACTTTTCCTACCTATTTCACTAGGATTATGCTGCCTCATCCAAGCTGTAATCTCAGTATCCTCTCCTTATCGATCCTGCATTTAAAATCTCCCACCTTCCTTTACTGTCCATTCTTTCCCCACACCTACACTGTAGTTCCTCTCCTTCAGCATCTTCCACTGTTACCCCTGTGGTGACAGGGTAATAGCACAATACAGTCAGTCTCCATTAATTTCAACATTCTTTGCCTGGACTTGCCTCACAGTAATGAGAAATCCTAATGAATCTAGACTGGAACATGCTTCAGTCAGATGATATGAGACTTCAGATGACAAATTCTGAAGCTTCTATTCAGCTTTAACAAATGGATTTTAAAATTTTTATTTTAAGCTTCAAATATGCTTAATTTGGCCACATTTCCTGGCAACGATCAAAAGCATGCAACAATACATAGACTGACATGCCTATCAAACATTAAGTTCCTACTTAATGTACCAGTGAACTTTTGAAACAAAATACAAGGATTTTAATGTGAACAAAACATCCTTTTCTATAGCCTTCTCAGGAGTGGCTTAAACACCTTAGCCAATGCATTAAAAAAATTAAGTTCACTTTGAATTAAATGTTTATTTGAGTGAAATTTTAATCTCAAATTAAATATATAAATCCAAATAACAGGAGTTTGAAATATGTATGTAACAGAAACCAAGATATTTTAATAGCCTAAGGCAGCTCTAATATTAGATGCCATTAACTATAGGTTAGCTTTATTTTTCCCTTCACAAATGCAGCACTGCATCATGATTATGTCAACTGCATCTGTAGAAAATAATAGAAGACTTCTAACACAATACAGTTGTAATTTTGGAATTAAGAACATATTCCTTGGCACTACAGGAATAATTCCTGCATCCACCTCCTTTACTCCCATAATATAAAAAAGGTGCAACATACAATATAAGATATATACTGTAAAGGATGTTCTCCTGATTCCATCATCATCATCTTATGATGGAATGGCTACCACTGCCTCAGTAGATCATGAATTAACTGATATGCTCAGACACTGTGCATCAGTACCAACACACATTGTTCAGCTGACAGTATATAATGTCACCGAAACTTACTTTCAAGAGTTTTATTACATAATTTTAAAACACAAAAACTTTCCAATAAAGAAAGAAAACAGATGTTTTGCACTTGAAATGCTAAAACTGACAAAAGTATACTTATTTGAATTCAAGACTTTTTCTTTCAACCCCAAAGGAAAAAAAAAAAAAAAAGGTAATGTAACAGTTAGCCTATTGAATTTTATTGTAAAAAATGTATCTGTCACTCACCAATTTTTTCATCCAAAAGCATAATTTTCTCTTGGGCAAGTTGCATTTCGTATTTTTTCTTAACAAGCTTTCGCTGAGTCTCTGAAAGACTCTGTTCTGTCTTTTCATTCAATAAACTGGAAAAGCAGAAGCATTAAACAGGAGAATTCAGAAGTTTATATATTAATGTTTTTTCCTTTTTGAAATGTCACTAAAATTTCAAAAGTAAAGAAAAATCAAGATTCTTCTGCATATTTTAGACTATTTGGGTTATTTTATTAATGTTAACCTTAATCTTGGGATATTAAAGTCTGAATACTCTTGTATAGAATCAGAGAAAAGTAAGAAGAATTCTTTACAAGTGGACATAAAAACTTCTCAAAAATTATTAAAATAAAAATCATCACTTGGGACATACATTGGAATGCTTGACCTATTTCAAGTTATATCCAAGTCATACATTCAAATCATATAGTAATGTTAATGATTCTCAAACTGAAACTGAAGAGAACTATTAGCCTGGTTGAGGGGGAAAGAAAAAGATATTTTAGTAGCAGCAACTAATCTTGAACAACTCAAGCATAAGTTGAACAGCATTCATAACTCTGACAAATTATTATAAAGCAGCAATAACTTAGGACTGGTTTTGTAAAGGAGTTAATGTTATTTTAGAAATCACAGTATCCTTAGAAAGGTATTGTGGGCCAGCACAACATTGCACTCTAGCACCCAACATTTCCACCAATCAAAAAAAACCTACAACACCCATGCATCAACTACACCAGTCACTTGTAAGGACTTGTAAGTACACACAGGTTTAGGAGAGCGTTTGCCTAACTGAATTAAATTTAAGGAAATACAAGAGGAAAAAGTCACAGTATCTTCTCTTGCAGTGTGTTCACTCTGTAGCTTAGTTCAGTCTGTGATCTAGTCCTTCTTATGTGATCTAGTCCTTCTTATCTCTCCACATAAAACTTCACATGTGCTTGTTCTTTCCCTCCAGTCAGTAAAATATCCATTTTATCTTGCACTCAATGACGTATGCTTTCTTCCCTAAAGGCTTCAACTGAGTCTAGTCTTACTACATGCTTCTGAACATGGTTAGGAACTCCAGTTGAGCAGAAGGCCATAAACCCTATGCAAGGCTTCAGTTTTGTTTCATTTCATGAAAAAGCTCCAAGACTAAGAAAAGGATGTTTGAAACTAACCACACATGACACTCATTAGTTTATGCATGTTTGCCTGCCTCTATAAAAACAACAATAAAAACTGGAAAAAAAAAATAATTCATACACAATTTACCAAAAAACATCGATCCCTGCAGCTTCTAATAAAAAACTCCTAACTCTAAGTCAGAGTGAATTTTCCTTTTTCATTGAAGATGGTTTTCGGCATATCATAGTATCAACAAGCCAAGAACATTTACACGTAAATAAGCACCAAGGAAAACAATTTCATTCAAAAAAGGATACCCCATAAGAACAACTATTGTAAATTCCTTTCCCTTTGAGCTATATAACAGTTATGAAAACCAATGAACGTAGGCTGATGCTACTCATCAAATTAAAGCAATTATATACTTTTACTTACCTAAGTGAAACATAGTCACCTTCCTGTCGTCTCAGCTCAGTTTCAGAGTCCAGTGCCCTTCTTGCCAATCTTTTAATCTCAGTTTCCAGAGAATCAATGGTGTCTTTCATTAGTGCCATTTTGGACATCTGTTCTAACTGCTCACTATCTAACTGTAAATATAATTAAACATTAAAAGCCCCCCTTCCAAGCCAATTTATACATATACTTTCCCCTATTGATTCAAATTCTGTTCTGTTTTTAACATCAATTTTTTACTGAAGAAGAAATGTCCAAGTATCTTATTTACTGAGGTCCTGACTCCAAATCTACTGAAGATAGTTGGCAAAAAGCTGAAATGTGATTTTCACGTCCTTTGAAAGACAATCAATTTCCTATCTTTCAGATCTCTGGGAATAGTTTAATTTATTAATGTAAATTTTAGGTTGGTAATTATGCCTGAGGGCAAAAAAGTTTGGCACTGATCAGCATTAAAAGTTTTCAGTGCAAAACAACATAACAGAAAACATCATTATGAGTGTACGAAGGGAGAAATCCCAATTCAGGATACAACATTACCAATGATAGCTTTAGGCCTCTACTGATTTATATATCTATGCCAATAACTGGATAGAGAAATCACTGTAGAACACTTGCATAAAGCACTGTCCAAATTACCACCATGAGGCCTTTAGGTCTGTATCTAGAACAAAGAACAGGTCCCAAACCTCTTGCACAGACTCCAGCAAAGCCAGTTTGAAATTTTGAGTTTAAAGAAAGGTTAAATGCTTACACATAACATTCAAAGAATTGACCTTTTTCAATTATTTGAAGCAGCTTTTCTAAGGTAAAAAATTCTCACTTCATCCCTCTCCTCCATTACTGATTCTTTCAGTACTAATTTCTGTGTTACTATAATCAAAGGTCAGACCTCTAAAGAGCAAGGCAGTAAGCCTCTGGTACGCAGTAACTTTTTCAGTACTAGCGTCACAAATTTCATACTGATTTATCACCCTCAAAGGGTACCAAATGAACTGAAGAAATGAAACCTACAACAGGACTATTCCCAATATTCACTACACATCATATGTCAAGTGTGTGATTAAAGCTAATTTACTACTCAAAGAACTCAGAGCTATTTAAGCCTACAGTGTATTCTTCATCACAGATGCACTCAGTTTAATAGTATAATCCTTGGAACTATACTTATAAGCTTGCTAGGATTTAAAAGGCTGAAGGGGAAAAAGAAAATTAACCAGAATTTATAACCACAAGATCTAGAAGAAAGATACAATAAGAAATCAATCTTAATCTATTTAAAAATCAAGTACTACAAGACTGTAAATATATTTAAGATTTATATTCATTTTGTTAATGTTTTCAATGTTAGCAAACAATGGCACACACAAATAACTTAAACCATATTAAACAGGACTTGCCAGAACAGTACAATTAGATTTTGGTTTGGATCAGGTCCTAATAATATATAATCATGAGGTAATTCACATTGGAATGGACTCCAGGAGGTTTCTAGTCTAAACTCCTTGACTATCCTCACAGGAAAGAAGTATTTCCTTGTATTCAGCATGAACCCTTCTTATTTCAACTGATGCCCGTTGTAGCTCATCCTTCCACTGTGCACTGCTCTAAAAGTCTGTTTCTGACTTCTTGATGAGTACCGGCATGTAGGACTTAGGTTCCCCTTAAACCACCTCTCCTCCAGGTGGAACAAGCCCAGTTCCACCAGTATCCTCTCATAGGGAGAGTGTTCCATCCCCAAGTATTGTGGGAGCCCTCCAATAAACTCACTCCAGTTTGGCAACATGTTTCTTGTACTGTGATGGCAAAACTGAGTGTGGTGTATTCCAGATATGGTCTAATGAGTGCTCAGTAAAGGGGGACAATCACTTCCCTTGAGCTACTGGCTGTCTCCTGTTCACATAGCCTAGTACACTCTTGGATTTCTTTGCCACCATGGCATACTGCTTGCTGGCTCACGTACAGCTTGCTGTATACGAGGACCTCCAGGGCCTGAATTTTCAGCAGAGCTGCTCCCAAACCCATTGGGTCCCCAACCTGTACTGGTGCCAGTGGCCCTTCTTCCCAAATTCAGAACTTGGCATTCACCCTTGTTGGACCTCGTAAGTTTCCTGTTTGTCCATTTTTCCTATTTGTCTTGGTCCCTGTGGATGACAGTCCTGCTCTTGAATATATCAATATCAACAGTTTTCCCTAATTTGGTATCATCTGCAAACTTTATGAGCATGCATTCAACTGTCTCCTTCAGTTCACTGATAAAAACGTTAAACAGAACAGGCATTGGAACAAACCCTTCTGGTGCTCCATGTTAAGTCTCCAGGCCTAACTAACTGCTATCTGGTAAAACTGACCATCCAATCAAATCTTTCCCCACCTCACTGCCCACCCATCCAGACCATAACATCCTAACTGGATACAAGAACACTGTGGGTAACAGTGTCAACTTGCTAAAGGGTAACTTGTTACAGTTCTGGTAAATAACATCCAGGGCTCTTAGCCTGTTTCCTGATAGAAAGCAGTCAGGTTGGTCCTGAAGGATTAACCACAAACGTCATCTGTATTACATTTACAATTACATAAATAATTATTTTCCCTTACATTTTGAATAGTAGTTTCTAGCTCTTCAATTCTCTGTTCCAAATGAGCCTTTTCATTAAACGCAGTCTCTTGAGAAATCTGTATCAAACAACAAAATCACATATAGAACGGGTCTGAACTCAGCACAGACATGTAATGCCATTAACTTTCAGGATTAGAATAGAAATCATTAGCAACTTTAATTATATTACTAAGGAGTTTTCATGTTAAAAAAACCTTGGAGGAGGGTGGGGTGGAATCAAACCTTTAACTGCTCCCTGAGGCTATCACGTTCTGTAGTCATCCTTCGGAAATCTGACAGTGCTGTGTCTCTTTCTATCTCCACATGTCTTAACATAGCTTGAGCTGTCACAGTACTTTCAGGAGACCTGGGGCATCTGATAACTTCCTGACGAAGTCGGGAAATCTCCTCCTGTGCCTGTTTTTAAAAACAGCAGCATAACAGAAATATGGAATAGATGTGATGTGATGTGATGTAATGTAATATATTACTGTCGTCTATGGCTGGTAATGCAGAACATCCCAAAAACTGTGCACAATATCAAAGATGAAGTAATGATTTGTGCATATATTCTTTGATTCAGGAAAGCAATCTTAACTCAGGACAGCACTTACAAACTTGTATTTAACTGATAGATTCAAATCACGGAATTTCCTCTCTTTTTTTGAATGTAAATTTACTATTAAAATTTACTAATTTTTAAACAAATGCTTTGGAGGGGGTTTTCCACACAAAACCAAAAATAGGATTTTTTTTCTTGCACATCACCCTAAGGTATTTTAATTAATCATGCAAATATAAATAAAATTACCTGTTCATAAAGACTGACAATTTTGTCTCTCTCAGCTGTTAAAACTCTGCAGTTACCCTGAATTTCTGCCACATGGCGCTCAAATTTTTTTAGTGTTGATTTAAGTTCTTCACGTTCTCTCAGTATTTTCAAAACATCTAGATCACAACTCACTCCCTTAAAGAATAATGTGATATAAGGTTAAAGTAGAGAAACAAAACTCGATTCACTTTCTTATTATATCTGTTTTGGAAATTTCTATGAAGATTTAATAAGCCTTCAATCTAGTCACCTCTAGATAGTCAAGAAAGTGCTTATATATTTCTTAGTATTAGAAACTAGAGATACATACCATTTTCTAAAACAGACATTATTTTGAGCAGCAAATGTCTATCAGAAATGGTACTAACAGTTATGTTAATTACTTAAAATGTAAGCATTTGTCAGTAACCATTTAAAGTGATATACATGCATGCAATGTGAACTTAACTACTGCTCTACATTATTAGTCCATTCTCATCTTATGCATCCTTCTGTTTATAATCAATTATTTTTTCTTCCTGGTAATTACGGCTTTGGTAGTTTAGCATAAGATAAACCAAAATTTTTTAAAAATGCATTCCTTCTTTACCAAAGTGTTTTCCCAAGATCACCTGCATGGATGAAAATTTTTTTGACATGCTGCCATAAGTAGAGGTTTGCTTAGGACTTGAAAATGCATTTCTAAATACCTTCAGCAAATTCTCAGTGTCACATTTACAGTAGTCTCTGTCCTCTTCCAATGTCTTAATAAAGGTATCAAGCCTTGAAGGTGACTTGACTGGTTTTATTTCAGTTTCTGCTTGTAAAATAGCCTGCATGTGCAAAAATGAGAGAATTTATTCATTGAAATAGAACTTTCATAATGAATGATACTTCAGTGTAAAATGGATAAACATATTCTTCAAAATGAAGATGAAGCAGATATCTGATAAAAATAAGTATCCATTTAATACTTCTGAATATCTGTATTTTCTTTTTTTGTTATATTGTAGAATATGTCCAACTGTCCTTCTGAAATGGATCTAATAGGACAGAAAATTACATAAAAGCTAAATGTTAATTAACTTGGAATGTATCTGTTTGAAACTAAGGAGGACAATTAAGTAGATTTGTATTGGAATATCTAATGAATTTTTACATAAGAAAGAAATGAGGCCACTATGTTTGCTTAAGATACATAAAAGGTGAATTTTTTGAAACAGAAATAAAGTAATGTGCATAAGTAGAGTCAAAATCCAGGAAGTCATGTAGGGACCTAAAAGATTTTGAAGATGAATTGCAATTCCAAAGTTCAAAATTGCACACCAAATCCCTCTTTGTTACAGTCTATCTGTTGGAAGTACCTGGACTCATGAAAGTTTAAGCAACTAGGGAATACTAAACTCTGCAAATTTATTATTTTTGTTAAGAAAGTTGCAAAGTAGGTCTTTATATCCCTGAAAAGTTATAAATTAATCACCTAAATCTCTTGGTGAATCTAGCTCTCATCCCAAACTTTCTGGATGAAGGACTAAAATATTTCCAGGGTAGTTGAGCAGTAAGCTCTACATTATCAGAGTGTTTTTTTACAGAGGAGGTTCTTTGCAGGACTGTGGCATAAGCTCAAATATTTTATAAAGGAAAGAAAAAAAA